GAATCGTCGAGGAATCGTCGAGGAATCGTCGAGGAATCGTCGAGGAATCGTCGAGGAATCGTCGAGGAATCGTCGAGGAATCGTCGAGGAATCGTTAATTTCGTAATCCTAGAATAGAGAGAATTTCGACGAGAATGACAGGATCACTCGGTTGGTTTCATCCAATTTTCTTTATCTCGCGTATTTGTCACCCCCCGTCACCACCCCTTCGCGTATCCCACCATTATTATAATTTTATGCAATATTTTTCGTTCTATCTCTAGAGTAGATATCAGCATCGCTTTTTCCACGGGATGAGTAATAAAAAAGTTTTGTTTTATCCGTTGAGTTTTCAAAACTTAATCCGTCATTCCGTCGTGGATTACGCGGATATATCAAGTGTCTGACCCGCTCCGGGGTTGTATTATATAATATAATATATATCTGTTGGAGGGGATTAAAAATGGGGGTGGGTTTGGGTACACTACTGTATACACTTGTATCGATAAGCCCGGTGGCTCGCATGAATGATTCAAATGGATTTTCCGAGTGCCCGCAAACCGTCGAGAAATCCAGATGCCTTTGCACACAAATACCCCGGGGCCAATCGCCAATGGATACACCCTTGAGATTTTTCTGACGGATTAAAAAGTATCGTTTATTTCCAGCGAATTTGAGAAATAAATTTGCAAGAATTGATTTTACCCCGGGAAATTTGGTGGAAAACACTTGGAAAATTCCTCACGATTTTTTCACAATTTTCCTCCCACTACCGAACCGCCATAGTTAAAAATAATTCCGCGAAATTGCAAATTGCAGAAATAAAACCGAAAGATCATTACGGAGACCGAGTACAAACTTTTCACCCCCCAAATGTCACGTGAATAAAAAAAATTTCAACCCCCAGTCTACATTCAGTTGTATTCACCACACATGTGCGCGACAAACGGAAAATCGCGATGGCTTTCCGCGAGACAAAACAAGAAAATAAAACCGCGAAATAAATAAAACAGAGGGGCTGGTTGGGGACAGGTGGATAGAAAGGGAGTTGAGGGGGTTGAAGGGGTTGAACCAAGAACCAACAGCTCCCGCCATCCGCATTATTGGATCACGAGCTGTACTCCAGTTCTCATTTTTTATTTCACCATTTTTCTGTTTTTTGTTTGTCGAGTCTCTTTTAGTTCAACCCCCTTTTTTTTTGTATTATTTCCTCCCCCTCTTCTCCCCCCTCCCAGAAAATGGGGCTTTTCTATTGGGATTCGATGGGCATGGATATAGTGTAGAGACAGGGCGGGTGGTGGACGACCCCGGGACGTCCACCCCATCGTCGTCATATTGATTAGTTTTTTATTATAAACACTGTGCCAACATATCGCTCATAAACTAAAGTGTACACCTGCTAGAACACTTTCAGTGACAAATATTTATCGGGGATTATTTACTCCTCCTGTCAATTTTTAACGCGAGCAATAAATTATTATTGTGTCTCAAGAGATAGACATTAACAACAACAGTCTTGAATAAAATAATTTTCATTAAAGAAAATGGAATTAAATCACAAGTTCATTCGAATCTTATTAATTTATTACGTGTTAGGAGACGAGATTTTTTTACGGAGGGAATCATAAAGTAATGACTCATTATAAATGATTGATATTATCCGTTAATTATTATTAATGTTGGTGTAATTAATTGTCGATTATTAGGGAGTTCTGATTATTGAAATTATCCTTACGTGAATTGCGCGCAATTTTTTTTTTAATTGAATTCAGTCTGTGAATTTTATTTTCCGTTTGATTTTGTGGAGTTGAAAAGTTAAATTTACATTTGAAAATTTATAATTTTCCTTCACGTCAGCATGTCCACGTCAGTCCAGTAATTATTTCAATTCCTCCATTTGCAGGAGATGATTGAACTTTCAATGGGTTAAATTCAGTTAAATTCGAATACTCGCGATTTTTTTTTGATAAAAAAATTATTCCGTTAAATTATAATTCATCCGGATCTTATGAATTTTTTATTTCGAGAGTAGAAATTTTTTCGGAGAGAAAAATCCGTGTGAATCATTAATTATTATAAAGCCTTGATACTATGACTGCAATTATTATTAATATGAGTAATTATTAATGAGTTATTATTATTTATTGAATGGCATTTCATCCGTGAATTTTTCTCTCCGTTTGATTGTGGGAATTGAAGATTCATTGAGGTTTAAAAATGTATCATTTTTTCTCCCATCAGTGACGCTGACGTCAGCCCAGTAATTAGTCCCGTCCCTTCATTTACGGAAGACGATTGAAATTTTAATGGGACGACTTGAGTTCTACCGCTCTTGAATCTAAATTATTCCCAGAAAATCTACAGTTCAGCACTTCATGACTCGGTAAAACCATCAAATGACATCTCCACGATGTCAATATATTTATCCTGACGATTCTACTCTATCAATTTGCTATTTTAAATCCCGAATGGAACGTTTTAACGATTGGAGTCGATAATTTAATTATTTATGAACAGAATCTGGTGGGATTGTAGGATATCTTTGAACGAAATATCCGTGTAGTACAAATTAAATATCGGGTGCAATTTTATCGGTACTCTATTAGTCCCGAGTTTAGGTGATGATTCAATTGCGCAATTAAGAGAGGATCGATTACCGATTGAGAACAGATTTAATCTAATAAAATCCATTCACGGAGTGATTAAAAGTAGCGATTGCATGCAGATTTTATGGAATTGTTATCAACTCACCAGTGATGCCGATGACAATCTGTCACCTGTAAAATAAATAGGAAAAATTAGAAAATCAAGTTTTTTCAACATTTATAAAATGCGATTAATTTGTTTTTCATGTCTCACGTGCATTTTATGGGGAGAAATTTTCGTATTTTAATTAAGAGGTCATACCGATCTCTCGACTGTTTATGAATTATTCAATCCAATGAATGCATGTGAGCCGAGAAATTCATTAAAAATATTTATAATATTTATGAAGGGAAGAATATAAAATGGCGAAGTCATGACGTGAGATGAATCGAATTTAAACTTCTTCATACTTATCAATTTATCTCGAGAACTATCAATTTCATCTGAAAATATTATTAAACTTTTTTGTCGCTAATTAAATTTTAAACAAAAAAGTTCTACAGACATTATTTCTGAAACTGAATAATTCCCGAGAAAACACAGAAATATCAACCGATCTTAAAGAAAACTCAATGAAAAAATCGAACTTTTCTAAATTCATTAATTCGATGTGCCCAACATTTTTGTATTCTCAAAAATATTTCATCCATTTCATTCAATAATTCATCCAAAAATATGTAAACACCCCATCAATTTTTAATAAACAAAAAAAAATCTATTCAAAATATCCATTTCCCCAATTTGTCTCCCACAACCAAAATCCAAAAATAAAGAGACAAAAAAAAATGATAAAAAATCAGAGCTTTGAGCTGAATCAAGTCATCACCGGATACGACACCAGAGTACTACATTAAACACGAAAAACCGAAAGAAAAGGGTAATGAGGTTTAGTCTCGCGTCGACGTATCATAGGTATGAATTATCGTTAATGTCCCCAACGATATGTCTATGGACCCTCTTCGTCGTTGGGTCCCTTCTCGAGGCTCAAAAGTCCCTCTGGCCCACTTGTAACCTAATCAGGTGCACCAGTGGCTCGTTAGTCCTGACGGTGTGCCTCACCATCGAGTCACGTAATGTCGGAGACGTGCCTGAGGATTTCAGTGAGTGTGAGGGTGCAGTTGTTGCCAGCACTCCCATTGTCCTCTTTAAATCCCACCGAGTTCATGACCCTCAACCTCCCAAAACCCCCTCACCCCATCCCCTCCCCCCCCATCCGTGAATTATTCCCCACGGCTTTGTCTAATGAACTGGACGCAGTTTAAATTAATTCCTACAAATTGGAAATTTTTCAGCTGTCCTCCAAGCTTTTTTTCACCCGCAATTAGTTATGCAACTTGATTAATTGATATTTTTAAATAAAACAATTAATTAGTAGATATTTCGGCAGTAGTAATTAATTGATTGATTTTATTCCGGTAGAAATGAAAAAGAGGAGTCGGTGAGAGGGTAACTTGGCTTGATTAATTAAAACTTCTCCGATGGATTTTTTTTTTTCTTCTTTTTTTTAATTATTACGCGAGGGGCTGGAGAAATTTCAAAGTTTGACCGCGACAAACCCTGTCCATCAATTACATACACGTGCTAATTAATAATTATGGATTGCCCCTTTCTCCTGGTCGGACCCTTGTACCGGCTCCTCCTGGGGTGGGGGATGATTAATTCTGTGGTTAATGCGACCCATTGATTATCGGGAAGGCGAAACACAACTGTCAAGGAAATGGGTCGAGGCGGTAGTACCGAGTGCCTAGAGTGTAACGAAACGATCGATTCTGGTGAAGTCGCTAATATTTTTTTCTTTTTCGATTTTCACGGGGAGAGTTTTCACAATAATCGCATCATTTGTCTCATTACCGGTAACTCAACGATCCCCAATTTTCCAACAATTCCGTCTAATTTAATTAAAAATAGCGTTTAATATTCAATAACAATTGATTATTATTGAATATTTTGATCGGTAAAGACTGTTACGGTTTACGTGTCGTCCTCTCGTCCTCTCGTAAGTTGAGTCAATCGAACGATCGTTCGATTGCTCTATCTCGATAATCATCAATTTTGATCGCATTTTGCGTGAAATGGATTAATGGAATTCGCGGTGAGTTGTGCGGATCCGCTTGCATATCATCCGATTATGACGCGATTTGCGGAAGGGCATCTAGACCGCAACCGAGAATAATCGGATTAATTGCCGGACGACAAACGTCAGCCGGGATTTATGAGGATCGGGGATTTCAGTTCAGTCGATTTGTGGAGTGGAAAGAAAAAAAAAAGAAGAAATTATTGCAAATTCCCTTGTCCCATCAAGCGCAACGATAAATTAAATCCACGACTAATTGCGCTCCTTATCATCGAGAGTGCAACGCGGGGATAATAAAAAATTGATAATAAAAAAAAAATGGAAACTGAAATAAAAGAGGAATTGTTTTTTTTTTTCATTGGAAAGTTACTGGAGAATTTTGCCCGACGATTTAGCGTCGGTGTCGCGTTAAATCCGTTGACGAGAGAGTGATATATCGGCCATTTCCGGTCAATAGGCGTGATCGATTGAACAGACCAATGAAAGCCCTTCAACACAACGTACCCTCCTTCACCAAATTAATGGCATTATTCCAAACACTCGGAGTCTCGTTTTGTCCCACGGTAATTTAACTCGTATCTTTCTCGTAAATATATCCACCCCTCTTCCACCCCTGCTCTACACTGTGAAATACGCAACACTTTGTTACCTTGGAAATATGGTAATAAAGATATTTTTCAAGTAGAAAAGGAAAATTTCGTTACTTTTTTTCCGGTGTGATAAATAGAATTTACAAGGAAATGAGAGTCTCTGAGGTAGAGGCTGAGGCTTATCAAGTTATGGGGTAGGAAATGTGGGTCATTTTGAATAATTCAGGGGGAGATCGAATTTTCTCGGCATTGACAGGATGAAAACAGGAAGTGGGGTAAATTCATAATGAGAGCTATTACGGGAAAAAGTTTCAATAATTCAGAGATCATAAGCTACTTAAACATCCATTCGAATTTGATCATTTTGCGTAGTAAAGTTTGAGACGTCCAATTAGCTCATTCTATTCAAAACTTCCACAATTATAAATATTTATCCATTAGATTCAGAAATATAAATTAAATTATGATATTTCGTTTTAACTAGACTTATCGAATTTTAAAAATGATTATAAGTCAATAAAATGATTATTATAATAAATAGTAATGAAGATTATTAATTATTATAGTAATTAGTTGATATTTGGAATGATTGAAAAAATATTGTGGATATTTTGTCGATTGAAACCAATGAAAATGAAAAAATAGAATTTCCTTTGACATTGCGAAATATTGCAATAACACGTCGACATCTTTTCTCCGTCTTTCTCTCCACCCCCCACCCTCAGTCCAAGTAAAGTGCGCGGGAGGTTTGAATTATACTCGAGTGTGAACGTGAGGGAAATTATTTATTCCCCGGGTTGTAATCCAATTATTTTGACGCACGGTGCGCAATACATTCACCGAATTTCATCTCTTCGGATTAAAAAAGTAAAAAAAAAATCTTCGAATTAATCTCACGGACTTGCCAATGAGTTTTCCAATTGAATGGTAATTCCTTCATTTCGTTGTTCCATATTTAATGGCCGAGTGAAAAGGCTCTAGGTATTTCTCGGAGGTTTCGTATCGGGAATCGTCCGGAGGGAAAAATAGGGCTGGTCGGGTGAATAATATATTATCAAATCGACACGCAACAGTGATCGATCCCTTTCGGTTTTTATTTGATGAAACCCTTCTGGACATTCTCCCATGGATGGCCGCTCTAAATTTCATTCAATAATAATATAACCCCTAAATATTCCAAAAGATATTGCAAATCAAGCCTCTTGCATATCCATTTATCTCCTTATTATAAATTATTAATATTCATATTGAGAATAATTTTCTCCTTTTTGCTAAAGACTCGATACCAAAAAATATAATTCACACAAAATATCGCGAATATATAATCTACATATAATCCAAAAATCACCCAAAATATTGCCTATTCCGTACTCATAATAATGCCGTCATATTATTCTATTGGCCCATCAACAATGCCACATATTTAATTGGGCATTTTCAATTACGCCGTAGGCAATCCAAATTTTGAAAAATCGCTTGCTTTTCGTTCAGCTACTCTCTCAATTTTTGAGAGACTACTCTCTCAATTTATTCTTGAAACTTTTATTTTCTTGCTAGAGTATGTCGAATCATTAGATAAATTTTTTACTCAGAAATACAGCCTCTATTTGTAGGTAATAAAATAATGAAAAGAATGGATTGACTGGAATAGCGTTAAAATGTTTTTCATTCCCATATGGAATGCAATGAGGCTTGATTGGCAATTAAAAAAGAATGCCACATTGAGAGATGTTTTCTGGAGATTATTTACGATCGATGGGAATGTGTATTGCTCTCTTCTATCTCCATTTTATTAACATTAAAATCAGAAGAAACACACGCTTTTCAGATGGCGGAAATAGAAGACAGATACTAGGTCAAGTACCAATAATGAACCAGTGGCGAAAAGTAGGATTCCAAATGTGATTTTCTTAAATTTCTGTTTGTTGTTCTCCAGTTGTACTTTTTTCGTACTTTCATTTTCCTTCTCGATTTTATTATCCTGACTCCTAATATAGAAATATTCAGCCAGAATGGAGCAACCCAGCACGAGTACAAGAAAAAACAGCGTATAATTAACACTTGTCACTAAGCCTCCCAACCGACTATAGCATTCAGTGATGGCGATCATCTCGCCAGATGCAAAAGTCATTTCCAATTAAATTTATAAAATACACTATTTTATACTTTTGTAATACAATAATGAAGTTGTGGGGGGACGGGGAAATCTACAGCAATGCATTATAATTAAATTATAAGGGGAAAAGCTAAAGGTAGTATTGAACTTTTTAATAATTATTGCTAATGCTCTCGGCCGAGCACAATTACTTTGCA